TCCAGTAGCATATCAGGATACAAAGTCAACACTCAAAAATCAGTAGCATTTCTATACATAAACAATGAACACACCAAGAAATTAAGGTAACCATACCTTTTACAATAACACCCCCCAAAACAAAATACTTAGGAATCAATCTCACAAAGGAAGTAAAAGATTTATATAGTGAAAAATTATAGTACTCTGATAAAAAAGACTGAAGAAGACTTCATAAAATGGAAATATCCTTGCTCCTGGATAGGAAGAACCAACACTGAGAAAATGACCAGACTCCCAAAACTATTACACAGATTCAATGCAATCCCAATTAAAATATCATTAGTATACCTCACAGATCTAGAGAAAACATTCCTAAAGTTCATCTGGAACCAGAAGTGACCTAGAACATCAAAAATAATCCTGAGCATCAAAGGAAAGGCTGGAGGCATCACAATCCTTGACTTGAAATTATACTACAAGCTACTGTGATAAAATCAGCATGGTACTGGCAAAAAAAACCCCAAACTAACAGACCCGAGGATCAATGGAACAGATTAGAAAATGTACACACAACTACAGACACACCCAGGCACCTTATCTTTGACAAAAGTGCCAAACATGTTTACTGGAAGAAAGATAGCCTCTTTAATAAATGGTGCTGGAAAAACTGGCTTTCCACACGCTGAAGGCTAAAGTTAAACCCGTATCTATGGCCATGCACAAAACTACAGTCAAAATGGATCAAAGATTTAAATATTAAAGCTGAAACACTAAATCTTCTTGAAGAGAAAATAGTTAGAAATCTTAAAGACATAGCGGTAGAGTTTGTGAACAAAAACCAAAATGCAAAGGAAATACTTCAAAGAATCAACAGCTGTGATCTCATGGTTTTAAAGTTTCTGCACTTCAAAAGAAATTCCCAATAGAGTAAAAAGAAAATCTGTGAATTGGGAAAAATTATAGCTGACTGTCCCTCAGACTAAGGACTTCTATCTGTAACATAAAGAATTAAAGCGCCTGCATAGCCAGATGCAGGGACCAGGGTTTAATCCTTGGCATGCTGTGCCAGCCCCGCCCCCAGGGTGCGCTGAGACAGTTATTGAGACTGGGTATGGAGGTGCATGCCTATAACCCCAGTGCTTGGAAGGCTGAAAACTGGAGGATCACTATGAGTCTGATCTGTGCAGTGAGACCCTGTACTAAATATAACAACAAAAAAGAATTAAAAAAAAAAAAAATCAGGCCTCCAAAATTCAAACACCCAATCCAACAATGCATCTAAGATGAATACACACTTCACAAATCAAGAAATACAAATAGCAAATAAATATATGAAAAAAAATATTCAATGTTATTGGTTATTGAAGAGATGCAAATGAAAATAACACTGAGATTTCATCTTATCCCAGAAAGAATGGCTGCCATCAAGAAGTCAACCAATAACAAGTGCTGGAGAGGCTATGGAGAAGAAACCCTTCTCTACTGTTGGTGGGAGTGCAGGCTGGCACAACCATTATGGAAATCAGCAGGGAAATTCCTCAGAAAGCTAGGATTGGAGGCCCTATTCTAGCCAGCTTTTCCCCTCTAGATAGTTTTCCAAAAGAACTGAAAACATCATGCCACAGTGATATATGTGCACCCATGTTTATAGCAGTGCAATTTGACATAGCTAAATCTTGGAAACAACCCAAGTGCCCATCAACTGAGGAATGGATAAAAAAGGTGTGGTATTTTTACACAATGGAGTATTACTCAACCATAAAAAAGATAACTTTGAGGCTTTTATAGGTAAATGGATACAACTAGAGACTGTACTGGTAAGTGAAATAAGTCAGACCTACATGTGCAAACATCATCTTGCTAGTGTGAGAACCAGAAAGAGTAAGATACTGTGAAAGGGAAAGAATGGGAAGGAAAAACTGGGAAGAAGAGAAGGACAAAACAAGGGAAGAAGATGCATTCATGTATATATGCAGGATAGTTTGGATAATTATACTGCTGATTTCTGCTGGTTTAATGAAAACAGCAGTTAATGCGTAAATGTATTTATTTATTCATTTTTCTCCTTTTTAACTTCTTGTAACTTTTTTAAACCATTTTTTTCAGGTTTATATCTAGTAACCTAAACAACTAATTTGAAGGTAACAATATGCAATACAACAACCATTGTCAAATTCCTATTAATTTAATTAATTTTTTTATTGTTTCTATTTTTTTTTGGTACCATTTTGTATTCTTTTTTTAAAAAAAAAATCATACTCAGGACCTCCTTTTCTTTTTTTTCCTCTTTGAAGGTGCTCTGGTCTTTGCAATTGCCTTGAGACATCTGTCTCAGGCCTTCGGGCTTCCCATGCAGCCTCTAGCGCAGACCCTTTGGCTTTCCCTCCACCGACTTACATCAGACTGCACAGCAAGCTCCAGGCCTTTGAACTTTGATTGGATCCTGTAGGCCCCAGCAGGTGATGGCCATTTTGCATTCTTCCATATCTGATCCCAGAGGTAGATACTGGAATTCTTCCACCTCTGATCCTGTAAGCCTACCTAGTAAATTCTTTTTTTTTTTTTTTTTGGCGGTACTGGGGATTGAACTCAGGACTTTGCACTTGCCAGGCAAGCACTTATTCTACTGAGCTACCTCCCCAGCCCCAGTAAATTCTTAATACCATCACAATATTTTCATGCTATGCTTTGGAAATGATTGGAGTGTGTTCCCTCCGGAAGGTTATGTATTATAAACATGGTCTCCAGTGCTGTATGTTGAGTGGTGGTTACACTTTGAAGAGGTAGCGGCTAGCATAAGTTAGGGCGCTGGGGGCACTCCCCTTGGAAATGATTAAAGCAGGTCTTACGAGAGCAAGTTGCTATAAAAAGAAGGAGTCTGGTCCTGGGATTGCTCTTTGAGTTCCATATCTCCTTTTATTATCTTCCCCTCTGGCACATGCTCCTACCATAATGCCATTCTTCATGTGACACAGCCAAAAGGTCCTACATTAGACTGAGCCAAAGCTAACATCCTGCCTTTGAACTTCCAGAACTGGGAAATAAACAGCTTTTCTTTGCAAAATAGTCAACTTCATGTATTTCATTACAATAAACAAAAACTAATACAATAAGTACATTTCACATAAAAATCTAGATTTGTATAAGACAAATTAGAGAATAATTAAATGTTCTTGATTTTGTAAAAATGCACACCCAAGACTCTTCTACTGGTTTTATTATGATTCAGTTTATCATCATATTTTATGACAATGGGAGTGTTCTTGGAGAATAACTGTAAACTTTTGTAAACTCAAATCAGTTCCCAGTGACATACATTAAAAAGAAAGAAGAGTTACACAAATGCCGAAGTACTAAACCTCAGTTTAACTCACTCTCTTATCAGTTGTAAATAGGATGTTTCTACTGTTTTAACCTTTCTCCAACATGATTTGATAATGAATGAGAAATGGAATTGCCCAGGGAGAACAGGAAATCTATCAAACTGGTTCAGTTAGAGTTACTATCTGAAATTTACTTAGTTACTATCAAAACACTTAAACTTCAACTTTTCAAGCAAGAATTTATAAATGATGTTAATTTCTTCTCCATTTTAATATCATACAGACTCTAACCTAGGGTGCAGAACTGCAATTCTTATCTCAAGTCTCAAGAGCACCTGAAATTGAAGTGAAGGAATTGTAGTTTCATCTTAGAAAATTTCCTGTCATTTAGAGAGTCAAATCATTAGAAATGAAGTTAGGCAGTGTCTAGATTTAAAGATAAAGGTCTTATGCTGGAGAGGGCTAGAGCATTTGCTCATTTGCCCAAGTCCCTGGGTTCAATCCATAGATTGACCAAAGAAAAGAAAGGGCCATATTAAAAGGTAATACGTTTTAAAATAAGGTGGAGAGGTCAAGTATTTAATGCTTAATGAAAAATGGAATATTCAATGTCACACAAAGATTTCAGGGAGCTAGCAGGAAAGGAGTGACACAAAGGGGTACATGCCCCCTGCAGTGCACAGCCCTGAAAATGGATAGCTGCCATTCAGTTCCAGCCAGATGCACTTCTACACAGGAATGTGGGCCCAGTGCTGCAAATCTAGCTTTCAATCAGATAATTACAATAAAACATTTTATTATTGTTTTTCCCCAGTATTGGGGGTTGGGCCAAAGGCCTTCTGTTGACAAGAGTTTTACCCTCATCCTAAAACTTTTTAAATATAAATTATTTTATCACAAAAATTTTAAGGTAAAAAAGTCACAGTTAGGAACGGGAGTAAAAAAATATCTATAGAAAGGTTACAATATGTGGACTAATCTATATTGTGGACTAGTATTAACTTCATACTACTTGGCATAATTGTCTTAAAATGAAATGCTTAGCATTTCCTAGGAGACCTAACAATATCTCCATTAGTTCATTAGCTACTCCTAGAAATAGACTAAGGACCTAGAAATGGTATTTGGAGTAGAAATGTGAAGAGTGGACAGAAAGACATTGTAGAATTATTCAAACTTAAGACAGATTGCCTTGTGTTAGGATTTAACATAATTAAACATTACTGGTTTCTTCTTTTTCTTCCTAAATTTAAATGCCAGAATTGGCCAAGTTACATTGCAGCGTGGAAAACTAATCATTGATTAAAATATGGTTTCTAAAAAAAATTATATATCATCACAGAGAAAATTCTGAGAAAAGTGACAATGAAGATAGTAACTACAAAGCAGTCTGATGTCCAAAATGAAGTATGATCACCAAATTGATACAATCTTTTCTTTAGAAATGATGTACTAATAACAGTAGCTACTAAATACGCAATCTTGTTGATGATGAGCAAAGTGATATTTGACTGGAATAGTAAAGAATCCCTTTAAAGACAACCAGTTTGACCAGTTCATTACAAAAATCCCTTTCTTTTCTCAGTCATGATTCAATAAAGCAAATATCAGACTTCCCTGTTAATTCTTTTTTTTTTTTTTTTGCAGTACCAGGGATAGAACTTGGGACCTGACCCTTGCCAGGCATGCCCTTATGCCACTGAACTATCTCCCTGGCCCTAGACTTCCCTGAACAATAGACTTTTTAAAAAAATACAAAAAAGATCTATCACTTTCAGATAATCTTAAAATTCCACCTAACTGATATGCTTTGGTTTACCTAAATATATCCATATTTTCTAAATTTTAGAAGACATAAGCCCATAGGGTGTGTGGCCATTACAGGCCAGTTATTAACTCTGTGACATGGCTGCTGTGAGGTAGGTGTGACTCTGACCTACACTTTGAGCTGTCAGCTTGTAACACCATTCCCATAAGGAAATCTTCATCTTTTGTTCAAAGTGCTTGAGCAAAACTCACCTCTGCACTAACAGAGATGTTAACAGACACACGGCACAAAGGGCACAGACAAAGCAGTTCTTGTATACAAGAAGTCTCAGGCTACTGGTCATCTAGATACAAGTGAGTCAGCATCCATGGTGTTGAGAAGGTAGAGTTCAGGCTGAGCTGTCAATCCCAGGTGATACTGCGGACAAAGAGATTGAAGAGAGTTAGACTGACTTTCAAGTAGGTAAATATTGCAAAGGACATTTAATACACCTATAAGTAATGTATTAATTTAGGACATTTTCAATATTGCTGTATTTTCATTTCAGAAAAGAAGTGGCTTAAAGATATTTGGTTTCCAATGTTTAAACAAGAACTGACATCAAGGTCTGGTGGCAAATGCCTGTAAACCAGCTCATGGGAAGCTGACGCAAGAGCACCATGAATTTGAGGCCAGCCTGGGATAGAGTGAGTTTAAGACCAGCTAAACTACAAGCAATCCTGCCACAAATACACAAACACACACACACACACACACACACACACACACACACACACAATAAAATAACAGGAACTGAGATATTAAGGCCTGAAGTTATGTCAAATGCCCTTAGTAAAATGAGCCCTCAATCTCTGGGGATGCTGCTTTAGGATGGGACTTTAGATCAGGATAACATGGGCAAATATGCACTGCCTTTGTATTTTAGGACTGTGTACTGGAAATCAGATTACAAATAGTCTAAATCCTCATCCTTATCATCCTGGTTCCATTATCCTTTGCCACCCAAGCAGAAAAAAACAAACAAAAAAGAACTTATTAAAAAAAAAAAAGGGTCGGAGAGAGGCAGATGACCTGTGGGTCCCAAGTATCTCTACCTATATCAAAATCACTCCCCATGCTTGTAGAACCTACCCACACCCCCCAATCATAGAAAACTGAATCCAGATATTTGGTGTTAGGATCTATGGAGTTGTATCTTTTTATTCTTCTTCCTTGAATACAGCTTGGGACAATCACTGATTCTTATTTAGCCCTTCTATTATTATTTAGGGCTCAAGCACATTATCATGCCTAGATACCAACAGCCTTTAAGTTAATGCAGAATATCAAGCTAGAAAAAGAATTAGCTTATCATAGTATAGTAGAAAAGGCATGGAGTTGGAATCAAGCACGAATTTTATTCCTTCCTATAACCTCAGCAAGTCATGTATCCTTTTAGAAGCTTACTCTACTTGAGTGTAAAATGGGAATATTTGCTACAGGTCCCTGGTATTTTCAAATACTAACACATTATCTCATGTTAGTTTCTAATAAATATATATTTTTAGCACATAACAAATTACTCTGTATGACTTCACAGGAATGTTGTGATGACTGTGTGAAGATGACATAGATCCGAAGAGGCCAGGATCAAACCATCCCAATCAGAGGGCAGGGAAGACAGTGAGGAATATGGCTTAAAGGAAGGGAAACAGCTCTTCAGACCAACTCGCTTCCACATTTAGAGTCTAAATTGCAGGGACCCATGACTAACAGCAACTTTCAGACACACTAATAATTCATTGAAAGCTATGTTAACAAGTAAGCCAAGGTAAACATTTCCTTACGAAGCAAGGGAGGCTTGTGTGACCAGTTCCAAGATGCCCATATAGCATATCACTTAACATATCTTAGTAGGTAGGACTCTCTCATTGGAAAAGTTTGTCATGTGGCTCTGAGACATTAAGAAATGGAATGAACTGGCACACAATAAAGGGTAGAGGGCTTATGGAAATGGGTGAACCCATTATTACTTCTTAGTTATTGCCAGGATGAAACCACAGAGGGTTCTCCCCATTTTCTATGCCTGCCAACAGCATCCAAACTTTTAAAAATCCAGCATAGGCCAAACAGTGCATACATCTGAACAACTTCTGAGCCAAAATATATTCTGACACTAACTGGAAGTGCCAAGCAAATGCTTCAATGTGTTGGTCTTGCTGGTGTTGCTAAGCTGTGTCTTGTCCAGCACAAAGGGTGTGTCATGTATTACAGGATGGCCTGGGCATGAACATCTGGGTGCTGGCAATAGGCTACTCAGGTTCAAAAGCCAAGTGCCCATTTATTGTCAGTGTGAGGGGGGCAAGTTACTTGTGGCTGATCAGATGCCTCATCTATAGAGAGGCGGGTCCTCTCCTTATGAGGAGTACATGAGAGAACACGGGTGCTCAGACCCCGACTTGCACAGAGTAATGGGTCAGCCATTCTTACATTCATAGCCAAGGTGTCAGAAGATGTTGGTATCCCAAGACTCATTGGTCCTACCAGTCACAGTGCAGAAGGCATTCCAAAGGCAATAAAGTGCTTCAAGAAAGGATCTTCAAATTGCTTTTCATTTTATTTTATTATGTATTTGGTACAGGGTCTACAGGGTCTCACTACACAGATTGAACTCGTAGTGATTCTCCTGTTTTCAGCCTCCCAAGCTCTGGGATTACAGGTGTGCACCACCACACCTAGTCTCAATCGCAGTCTCAGTGCACCCTGGGGGCAGGACCAGCACAGCAGGCCTGGGGACCAAACCCCTGGCCCCTGTGGCTGCCTAAGCAGGCACTTTAATCCAATGAGCTATTTGGCTGGCCCTTACATTTTATTTTAGTTGTGAAATTAAACCAGAAATAAGAACTGAGAAGTAAATGAAGCCAATGTGGAGAACTATGGGATTATTTAGAATACACAGCTCCTAGAAGACAGGCAGGAAAAGCCTTGCAATTAAACATAAAATGATCTTCTAGTCACACTCTTGGGACAAATCAAGTGCTTAAATTTTCCTGTCATGTGTGTAGTCACAGGGTTGATAGTTTATTGTGGTTTAGTTTTGCTTTTGTTTTTAATAAAGTATGCCAATTTTTCCATTTGTTTTTAATCTAAGAGATTCTGGTTTTTCTCTTTAAATACTCAATACTTATTAGCAATAAATATAGAATGTAAAAGTCTGGTTGAATAGTGAAACGATATTAAAGGGAGATGAACACCCAGTTTACAGGAGAGAAAGGAAGGATAAAATGTTGTTTAAATGTAGTAACAATATGACCTTTAGCTATTACAAAACTATAAATGTGAGTAAAAGAAATTAGTGCCTTGGTGTCTCTACCTACCATAAGCTTTATTTCTTTTATTTTTCATAAGCTTTCTAGGGACTAAACACATTTATTTTTGTCCAAGGATAGAGCCAGTAGGGCTGGCCAGATAGCTCAGTGGATTAAAGTGCCTGCTTAGGCAGATGATGGGACCACGTGCAGGAGATTGAGACTGGGTGTGGTGGCGCATGCCTGTAATCCCAGCACTCGGGAGGCTGAAAACAGGAGGATCACTACGAGTCTGATCTGTGTAATGAGACCCTGTACTAAATACATTAAAAAAAAAAAAAAAAAAAAAAAAAAAGACAAAGCCACCAACTGTGTGGGCTTAGTGTGTGATTCAAAGTAGTAACTAAGTCTGGTATTTTAGTATCAAAGTTGCTGAGATCCTACTAATAAAGTATTTTTGTTTTAAAAAATAAACCACAAAACCAAATTGGAAAAAGAAAAAAATTTTAATTACATATTAAAGGTACATATCAAAACAGTCACTAAAAGCTCAACTGGAACCATTCCTGATACCCACAGAGCAAGATCTCATAGGAGCCAAACTGAAGCTCTTCCACATTCCACCTTTAATCTCCAGTATGCGGCAGTGGTACAATTATTCCATGTCATATTTAGAGATGTTATGTACATGTACCAACTTCCCATGATGAATGTAATCATTATGTACCAATAAAAATTACATAGCACATTCAGGAGAACAAGGGTAAATTTATAAAAATACAACTGAATATCCTTAAACAGTACACACACACATATGCCAAAATGCACTGCACGTGCTGGCGCTGGAAGACTTAAATTTCTACACATTGTTTTTGTACTTAGAATACTGCTTAAGTACACATTCTCTGTGTAAGGACCATACAGAATATGGAAGTGTAATTCACATCATAAAGTAGTACACTCATAGTATTATTAAATTCCATTTATCTGGGAAGAAACTTTTCTTCTTAATAATAAGTCAAATATACAACTTCTACAAGAATAGTAGCAGGTTTTGCTGGAACTGTTTGTGAATCTGAGACACGCTGGGCACACCCAGACCTGGGGTAAACGTAAATGTGACCAAACCATCTTTACAAAGAATTTGGTGGGAGTAAGTTTGGCTTTTAACTATCACAGGTGGATAAAATCTTAAAATGTCAGTTCTAAATATCTTCAGAAGATGGTTATGACCATTTTGGTGTACAATGGCCAGTGTAGGAGAGGGGCAGGCAGGACAGCCTGTCAGAGGAATTGTCATTTGTGATTCAGTATTGTATTACTGAGGAGCTAAGAAAAATCTATGGTCAGTGGTAAATTACAAGTTATCATTAATGCTTTATAAGACACAGTCTATCCAGTCTGCATTTCTGAATGTGTGCAAAATATCAGGAATAATGCCCCTGGGAGTTAGGTGGAGAAAGCGAATTGGCGAAACAGGACACGAGAAGGAAAGCTCCAGGACTGTTCTCACCAGGACAGTAGCTACATAAGACTCAGCTATTTGCATCAGATGAATGGGATGTGGGTTGACAGAATCACATAGCCTCACGTGCCACATATAAGTGTCAGAAGTGGCTGAAGAGCAGCAGCTCCAGGCTTGAGACGTCCGTTTCCTGACTCCAGAGCGCCCCCAGCTGGCCTCACAGTTTATCTCTCTGCTGGAGCAGCTGTGCAGAGGTAGCCTCGTTTACCTTGCTGACAGAGAACTTTGCAGTCTCAGCAACCTCTGCTGACTTGCTGAGAGTCTGTGTGCTTTGTAATGTTAGGGTCACAGTGCCCAAGATCACCTGGCAAGTCACTTCAGACAAGAAGCAGAGTGGTGTGACGCAAAACATGATTTTGCTAAAAGGTGGTTTTCAGGAATACAACAAGGGTCTTCATTCCTTTTTTCTTTACTTCTCATTCCCAAAGTCTTGTGAGGACATCAGTTTGTAAATGCTATCATCTTTTAGTATCACTGCCCTCTCTCTTGGAGGTGGACTTTTTACACAGCCACAATAGCCCTGTTCTCATAGGTCACGAACTTCAGGACTACAAGAAAATCCTGGTAAGCTTCAGAAGGAAAGTCTTTAGAAGGTAACTGGTTACCACTCCTTATAGGTGAGTTTGACCATTCGTCCATTTTTATCACTTCAGTATGCTTTCTCACCTCTCTTAATTTCCATTGAGAAATTTAAATTGGAAATAAGGTAAAAGAATCCTGAGCCTGATTGAGGTAGATGTCTCTTACTTTTGTATTTCATATGGGTGAAATTACTATAATGGAGGTTTTAAAAAATAATTCAAATAAATGAAAAGGTAAACATAAAGTTATTTTTCAGCGTCTTAAAATCCACTTTTGATAATTAAAACATGCATACTTTTAACTACCATGTGTATAATTTATACTATAAAAATGTATTGCATTTTCTAGTTTCTAAAAATCATACCGTCTGGTTAAGAATCATGCATAGGGAATTCTCTCTTTAGCAGCTATTTAAGCCTTTAGTGTTGGGATGACAGCAGCAAATGTCAGCTTTTCAAAGATCCTTCTCAGGTTAGGTCAGAGAAAAAACAAAATTATGTCCATCATTCAAGCAGACAGGAAACAAAGTCCTTCCCAAGCAGTTATTTAGTTCTAAATGTAGTCTGTGCAACGGCACATACTTGTAGCTATGTTCACACAGTAAACCATAGAAACACACTGGCTCTGATGGCTACCTGCGGCTGACAGACAGACTGGACCAGTGTTTACTTAGGATCGCCACCAGTGGCTTCTTCCGTCAGCAGGACTTTAGAGATGCTTACCGTGTGCCCACAGTCCAGGAAGGACAAGCCCAGTGCAATCAAACACTGCCAACCCTGCAAGATGAAACACGGTTATCAGTTACCAGGCTCCACAAGAGCCCCTGGCCCACAGTGAGCCCTACTCACACAGCGACACTCGGACACAATCCTGCTCTCTTCCTCACACACCCAGCTTTACCAGCCTCCCACCCAGGGCTGCCCAAGACATGCTCCTGACCTCTGTCCCTTCAAAACATCCTGCTGCCCCCAATAAAGTGCTCCTATGTGGGTTTCAATACTCAGTTTTCTCTGTTCCTAACTGCTTTGGGTTTATGACTTCTTTTGTCCAACTGGGCATTTCCTGATGACCACTTTCCTTCTCTCACCCCCATTATGAGAAATGGGGAGAATGACTATCAGACCAGAGTGACTGATGTAGTCTCTGAAGTTGTTCTGTGAAATCTCTCTTTTGGAGCTAGAAAGTGATAATCTGTTGTAGAATGAGCCTTCAACTATCAACCGGGAACACTGAGTCTCATTCGTCTGAGAATCAGTAAAGACAATTTGACACCATTGTGAGCAATTTGCAAGAAGGGAGAATTCCCCAGATTTCTAAGCTGATTTTAGTTTTTAAAACATATACACACACATTCATTCATTTTTAACAATTGTGCTAGGAATCGAACCCAGGACCTGTGCCATCTATTGGCTCTAAACTAACTTTTAAAACGATTCCTATTAGCAACATATCCAGTTACTTGGTTTTCCAGACCCTAGAGTCAGTATAATTTTTGTGTACCTGAGATTTATTGGGAGGGAAATGGAAATTCCAATCCCAAATATTTATTTTCAATATTTACTAAAGGGATTTTCTCAATTCGATATCTAATCTGTGGCAGATATTGATATGGGGACTAGGTAAATATTCTAGAGATCAACAACATTCTGGCCTCTGCCTTTCACCATTTTCTCAGCAGACATGGCATAAATTTTGTAGCTCCTTATGCCCAACTTTGTATTTCCCAGAAACTCTATAGGGAATTGGGAGGTGGAGTTGTTGCATTGCTTGTCACTAATATTAGCAATGTTAAAGAATATCTAGAAAACAGGAGTCTACAATACCATTTTCTAAAAACAATTACTGTATCATTTTTACATAATTTACTCTGGACCTACAGACTTATTTGGGTACAAATCTGGGCACAAATAACTTGCACTGCATTTCTATATAGGTATGTGTTTATAGCCTGGGCTTTTAGAATAATTCTAAAAAAAATCCGGAGAGGAGGTATCACTATTTACTTAATTTCGGAGACAGTACATGGTAAAGCACAAGTACACTGTGATCCTACCTGTACTCTACTGCAAAGCTCTAAATCACATTCCCTTTTCTAATTCTGTACCACTCTCCACATTGCTACCTCCTTTGGTTCTTCAAACATTCCGTCCCCTTGTTAGGAACTAAGAATGGAAACTATAGACAAGTGACAGAAGTAAAAAACTGCTAGTTCTTAGGAAACAATGTAACTTTCTTGGTTAGATGTATAAACAGCTGATTTAACAATTCCACACAAACTGTCCCAATAACCAGAAGAAAGATTGCTATTGGTTTTTGGGTCCATTCGTTTCTGAATGTCAGCTGCACCCTCAGCATCCCAGATACCTGTCCCCTTGTCTTCCCCCACCAGACTTACCAAGTAGAACACAAAGCTTAGATAAGCCACACTGATCACAGCAGCTACCACGTACAAGGCCATATGCCCTAGTTCCTGGACATAAACTACTACAAAGTACATGTTGATGGAACAGACAATAAGGACCAAGAGCCCGCCTGCAATCCTCCAGCCTCTGTAAAAGAATCAGCACAGTCACTGGTAAAACAGTCCAAACTGACCACAAAAAAAACAAAACAAAACAAAACAAAAAAGATCTCATGGATAGTTGAAAAAAGAACTGAAAAGTCAGATAATAGTAGGAAGAAAAAAAAAAAAAACATGCTTCAAATAATCTCTAAGATGCTAGAAAAGCAAGTGCTAGATATACAATGAGTCATTTTATTAGCCTAGGGTGAAATGTAACAAGTAATTTCAAACACTGTGTATCACCTCAAGATATATGTAAAACGTGTTAGCTTAAGTCTTTCTCATTAAGATAATTCAACATAAAATTTCAGTGGCTGAAGCAGGAAAGTTAAAGATTTAAAAATTGAAATAAAAATGTGCTTTCTCCTTTATCACATCCCTGCTCTCCCATCTTTCAGGCACAGAAGCAGCAGCTAGCAATCACCTTGAAAAGTGTGCAGTTCCCCTGGGATTTACTTCTAGCTCTTCTGTTGGATGAAAACACCCCTCTCCCCACATCTCAGCTCCCCTCTGGAGAACTACCATGAATCTACTCACATTCCATTGGAAAATTCACTCATCACTGGCCGCAAGCTTGTAAATGTGAGGATGGGTATGAGAGCAAAGGGAAGCTGGAAAGAAAGAAGTATGATCAGATGGGGCCACCAGAGGGCCCCTGCACATCACACTAGAGATTGCCGCGGCTGGCAGAACCGAAGCGTGAGCCCTGCCTCACCAACTCTGTGAGACCTAATTATTCTTATCCCCTAACATGCTCAAATAGTAGAAAGAAATCTGTGGAGCTCTCACTAGTATTAAGGATGATCATAAGTTCTTTTTGTCTTTATGAATGTTGGATGACACTTGTACTCTTGAGTTTCTCTAGGACCCAGCAGAGTATTCTACAGTTCATTTAATGCTTGCTGGATATATAAACTATAACTTGGGTTCCATACGCAAGTATAGCTCACACTTACTATTCAGCATCTTAAAAAGCCACACCATTCCTCAAAGGCTTTCAGACGCCAGGGATTTCATGCCCATTCCCTGCAGCCAACACTATCCACCTTCTTTTCTCCTCTCCATTTTTCCCAGCACCCAGCACCAACCAGGCTGGGTACCAAGGACTGAACTTAAGCTGCTTGCTCACCTGTAAGCTCTGCAGAACATTTAAGAAGTCGTTCATCCCTGTAAGATGTTCTACGTCTTGGAAGATAGCAACAAGCAGAGTGGGGATGATGGCAATAGAGCGAGTCAGAATCACTCGGGCAAATCGTGACCACCTTAGGTTCAGGAATCCCTGGGCGGAAACACAGAGTCAGGATGAATCTTCTAACAGGTAAGACAGGCTCGAGAGGTTCAAGAAGCATGAGACTGAGAAATAGCAAAGAACCGTGTTAGCTCCCTCTGCTTGACACCACACCTACCTCCATGACAAACTGGCCAGAATAGGTTCCTGTCATGGTGGAGCTCTGTCCGGCAGCCAGGATCCCCACTGCCCAGATGTAGAGGGCAGCAGGCCCAAAGTAACAACCCAGCACCACACCCTGGGAAAGGTAAGGGAGAAAGATGTGCTTGTGTTGGTCATCTGCTTAGGCAACACTTAAAATAGCATTTCTTTGAGGCACATCTACTTCTTTGATAAACAATCCCTACACCAAGTGTGTGCTGGGCACTGTCACACCCCAGGTGGAGGTCTTGATCTGCTTCTAGCAGCTTTCAATCTCAGTGTTGCTGGACATGCTCTCATTCCTCAGCCTAGTCTTTCCTTCTCCAAGCTCTAAAAGATTTACCTCTAGCCCCCATCTTAAGACTGAAAAAACAAAGTCTGTATCACAGTTTCCAAAGTTTAGTCCTTAAAACACTATTATAGGAAATGACAATACAGCAGCAAAAGGTCAGACAGATAAATGTGGGAACAGCTCTGTATAGTACGTGCATGTATTCTACTCTTCCTGAGTCACAATGTAGCCAGCATGAGGGACTTTTGTAAGGAATCCTTCAGTAACCAAAATTAATACCCTTTAGAAATATATACTGTGACCAGGAGTTTCCAAATTCCCAGTTTCCAATCCATCTTTCCATTGATCTTCTATTCCCTCCAATACAAAAGAAAATGACTGGCTGGCTTCTGGAGCTTTGAAATAATTCATACTTCAGAGGAGATAGTCAGATCAGAAATGAGTTCATGAAGTTGACCAGATAACATGGTGAGAAGACTAAGCTAGGAACAATGATAATAAACTTGAACATGCTTACCCCTTTGTAGATGTCCACAGCCAGGGTTGAGTTATTCTCAGGAAAGAGGCCGACATAGGGACTGCTGCTATTTTTACAGACATCCACCTAGAACCCAGAGCAGTTTCAGAGCAGCTTTCATTTTATAGGAAAGGACCAGATAAGAAGAGCTCTCTATAGCTCACAAACAAGTCCTTCATAAAGGGGCAGCCTGGGGAGAACTCTGGGTGTAGGCTACGAAGTAGACACAGCCTGGCAGCAATGTGGTACATGTGGTCATCTTCTAAAGTCCTTCTGAAGTCCCACACCATTAAAAAACCATTCGTGAGTTAGAATGAATATGATAGCACACATGAGATATTTTGTAAGAGGACAGGAGTAGAAACCCTAAATGAGGCCCAAAACCCGAGAGCCCGGCATGAGAAGCCTTTAATCAAAGTAAAGCCAGGAGTCTGAGGTCCTGCTGATGAGAAACAAAGCATGATCAAAACTACCCCACTGATCAGAAATTGAGGAAAAAGCATGATGTGACCAAACAAAATCTTTCCTCATAATTTCAATATTCTATTTATTGATTCCTCCCAACCTGTCATTATCCCAAATGGCACAACTGGCAAGCAGGCAGAAAGAAGTTGACACACAAGAAACAAAAGGAGATGACACACAGCAAAACAGATGAAGCTACCTACACAACAGCATGAGGCAATCTTGGGTCTGAGGCCAGCTCCCTTGCCAGCCAAAAGCTGGTCCGATGCAACCGGGCCTTGTCAGCACCCAGACTATACACTGGTACACAGTGATGTGAACAGTGCTGACCTACATAGATCCATTTCTCTTGGGTTCTAAGTCATGTATCTCCTGTCCCACTGCAGCCTTCATTTTACCCTAACATCCACAAGCACATATGACTGTGGCTTACTCACCACCTGCTGGTTGGTTTTCTCAAAAAATGCTTCAGCAAACACTGAGACCACAAAGACGTTGATGATGAAGGAAACAAAGAGAGCAATGCAGGATTCAATAAAAAAGTACTTGTTGGCTTCTCGAACTTCCTGTTTATTGGCCCGGTTTACCTGTCTAGACTAGAGATAAAAGAAACTGTCATTTTTGACCAGTTGGAACAAGGTTCCTTGGACTATTCAGGACTTTGGAGTCAGCTAAAAGATTAAGAAGGCAAATAATTTAATAGTCCAAATGTAAGAGATCTGACACTCACCTAAACCCTGGTTCATTAAGCAATTAAATCCATACCTTTTGGCAACATTGCACATTGCCCAAAGAGGGACCAGAGACTGAGTGACTACTGAACTCACAGCTGTGGCTGGAGCAAGCTCTGGCCTACAAAAGCAAGCAGATTTCAATCCTTTTTTTTTTTTTTTTTTTTTTTGCAGACAGACTTCAATCCTAAGGGTACATAACCCTACTTAGAAATGTCTCTGAAGTCACACTGTACAATATTCTCTGGTAAAGCTTGGTTGTCCTATACAAGACCATGTAGGCTTTTCATATCTAAGAACAAGAGACTTTTAGTGTGCTTTCAGATCTTTTGTGAAGAATGCCAACCCCAGCTTACCTGTGGAGTTAGTAATCCCTGATCAATTTAGTGACAACATATAAAACAAGCATGTGGAACTTAGAAATATCTTGCTCCTTCAGGACTCTAAGTGTTGTAAAGCTATGACTGTCTCCCTGGCAACAAAAGGAAAACAAGGTCCCATGACCTATCCATGTTGTTACAGAGTTACGGGCCTTACTCACCTTGACTAAGGCAGAATGGAGGTACATGTTGTGTGGCATGATGACGGCTCCCACGATGCCCACAGCCTGCTCAACCTGTGGGGTGCGACAGCCAGAGCAAGATGGCACGAACATGCCCCTGAGTACCTGGCTCTGGTTGGGTTTCACTGTAACATACTACAAGCCAACATACCAACTGTTAGCCTTAACGGAACATGAGATGGAGAAGAACACACAGCAGAGGAGCCATAGGACTCTTTCATTTCCTATTAGCTCCTCCCACAAACCACCTGTAACAGCCCGCTGCACCAGCACGCACCAAACAAGGCTTGGATGGGAGGAACACTTTAGCTTAGGAGTTTGAAACCAGCTTTGGCAACTTAGTGGGAGCCTGCTTCCCTAAAATAATAACCATGCTGGGATACAGGTCAGTGGTACAGCATCTTCCTGGTATGTGCAAGGCCCAGAGTTTCAAGCCCTAGCAAAAGTAAATATCACTAAGCAACCCAGAGGGCTTGTCACCAGGAGTCAAAAAATTCAGGACTAAACTTTCTAAATATTTCTCTCCTTTTTTCCTTCTCTCTCTCTCTCTCTCTCTCTCTCTCTCTCTCTCTCTCTACTAGGAACTAAACAAAGGGCCTCTGCACTGTGCTACATTCCTAGCCCCGTTTCTTATTTTTAGGTAGGGTCTTTTTAAGTCACTAAATTGCATAAGCTAGGATTGAGTACATAAAATGTAATTATTGTCCTAAATATGAAATGGCTGCTAAAGGACTTATTGTAATTAACTTCACATTAGCTCCTAGTATACAGAATCAGTTCTTCATTATATTTCTCTATTAACCTATGTTCATTAAAAAAATCACCTATGTTTCCCACTTGTAGCAAAGACTCATTCATAAATATTTTTTATACACTTTCTCTTGGTTCAGCATTTCTCTTGAAAGCCTTATTCCAGCCTGTATAATCTAGTCATAGATTTTAAAAAATCTAGTCATAGATAGATATACTTTTTTTTGGTACAGGCAATTGATCTCAGGACCTTATGCTTGCCAGGAGGGTGCTGTGCTGCTGAGCTAAATCCCCAGCTAGATATAGTCTTTAAAGTTTAGCCAGGCCAATAAGATAACAGTAAAAGGACTGGCCAAATAGCTCAGTGGAGTGAAGCACCTGCTTAGGCAGATACAGGGGCTAGGAATTCAATCTTTGGGCCTGCCTTGACGGCCCTGCCCCTGGGGCGCACTGAGACTAGGACTGAGACTGGGTGTGGTGGCGCACGCCTGTAATCCCAGCACTTGGGAGGCTGTAAATAGGAGGATCACTATGAGTCCGATCTACACAGTGAAACCCTACACAACCTGTCCTAAATTAAAAAAAAAAAAAAACAACAAAAGATATCAGTTTATTATTGGACACAGGAAAGTGTTATTACTTTAAAAAGTGGAACTAATTCTTAAGAGTGTTTAGCTTGGAGAACAAATCGGGATATGCGTGTATCATTTATTATTTATCAGTTGTTTTAATACAGGAAAAATCTGAGCTATTGTTAATATAAACCAGGATGAGCAAACCAAAAGCTTTTTAATTTGGCAGTCACGAATAACTGCAAAAACAGAATCACCCTAAGATTACAGCCAAAAATAACCCCACAATCTAGCCAGGCCTAACCTGCTCTGTTACAACAGATAATCTGGGACTAGGGTAGATAGACTGGAAACACCACTGTACTTAGTCATTTTTGATCTATGAATTTTTGACCTGCAGGCCTTCAAATATACTAATGATTGCTGCAAAATCAGCCCAGAGCTGAATTGGTTTTTGAGGGGGTTATCCTGGGAATTGAATTCAGGACCTCATGCTTGCCAGGCAGGCGCTGTGCCCCTGGATTGGTTTTTTGTTGATATAAATATGTTTAAATGAAGCCATTCTAGCACTATTGCTGTCCCCCACCCCACCCCTCACCCCAGGTATTGGGGATTGAACCCAGGGCCTCTGCACTTAGCTACAGCCCTGGTCCTTTTTATTTTTTATACTGACATAGTCTTGCTAACTCACCCAGGCTAGAGTCAAACCTATGAGCCTCAGTCTCAGACAGTGACTACTATTGTCTTTTATAATGAAAAGTTAAAAACCAAACAAAACAAATAATTCTTTTCAAAAAGCCACTGAATAGCCAGTAACACTTGCCTCATATCCAAATGTGAGGGCCATAACAGTGATGAGAAAGCCAAAAAACGCTTCTAGCTTCCGCAAGCCTAAAGAGGAAGAAAGGCAGAAGGGAGCTTGTAGGAGGCAGACTTCTCCAGCAGCCACGTGAAGGAAAGCAAAGTGGCTCCACTGACTGCCCTTGCCCCATTCCCACCCTCCTTACCATATTTGTCCAAAAAGAGAAATACAAATGTATCTGCAATGGTGATGAGAACTCCACCCCACAGAGGAACCCTAGGTTAGAGATGGAAATACAGATTAAAGGAAGGACACATGGAAAAACAACACCCTCTTCCAACTGCTCTCCTGATACAGAACGCTTACAGAAGACAGGCCTTGGGGAGGAGGGAAAACCTTGAGAAGTAAGCCCTTGGGTTATTGAGGCTCATAAGGACAATTTTAATACACTCATTCAAACTTTGAGTGTAGTATGTCAGACATTTAGCATATGAAGCGGGAAAGTAAGCCTTTTTTTTTTTTTTTTTGGTACCCGGGATCAAACTCAGGGCCTTGTGCTTACCAGGCAGGCACTTATGCCACTGAGCTACCTCCCTAGCCCAGAAAAGTGGGTCTTATCCTCAAGGAGCTCACTGTCTAGGGGGATAAACCTGCATATAAATAAGTAAATAAATGACAGACTGCCATACACTTCATCACACTCATATGTACAATTAACTGCAGATATAGAAGATGTAGAGACACACGGGCTAGTGGGGAGGGAGGTGATTCCTGAAAGACTCCAAAGAAGAAATAATACTTCAGCTAAACCTTAAAAATTAGAAATGTGTTGGGTCTTTGTTTTCATCTTTCTTTGAAATCCAGCACAACACTGACAACTCCCTCACCTTCCTATAGACAGGAGATTGATGGCGATGGCTGAACCAATGACTTCCTGCATATCTGAGCCAATGATAGCCAACTCCACCATCAGCCACAGGATGATTCGTGGGACCTACACAGAAAAGAAGAAGAAGATGTGGTTCACACTGTTTATTTAGGAATATCCTGTGTCATCTGGAATTCAGACTGCCCTTCCTAATCCTCAAGACCTGGCCCAGGACTCGGCCTCACTCAGCACTGCAGCCCCCAGGCAGAGAAGGAACAGGTCCTACACAGGGGAGCCTGCGAACACCAATGCCAGCACAGCAACTGATCTTACTGCTTTTTCCTTCCCTTCCCACTCAGAAGAGAGGAATTTCTATTTATTAACTTCAATAATTTTTTTCCCAAAGACGCTACACATTTGTGGGAAAATAGTTACACCAACAACATCAAAAGAGACTAGGAAATGATTGCAAAAGAAAACATCTATCTTGACCAGCTGAGGTGACAAAACAAGCAGGAAAAGGCTGAGGTTATCTTTTTTCTGGGGGGGGGTCATCTTTAAAATAATAATAATATGCATGCAAGTGAAAAATGACAGCTGCAAAAGGACTTAGGGTAAAGTAGTTGAAATTGGGTGGAATATACCAGCGTAGGTAACTAATCCAGACAATAGCCTAGCTGAAAGAAAAATTCAATGGTAGCACACTGAAGCCAGAAAAATTACTTACAAAATAATCTTTAACATGTGTGAAGAAAGCAAAAGTGGGAGAAATTATAAATTAGCAAGGGTTTTTAAAAACTAGATTAAAAGGGGGCCTGCCCCTTAGCTCAGTTCTTTAAGTGGCTGCTTCAACAAAGCAGTCAGGCTCAGGTTGCTGTGGTTCAATCCCCACAACTCAAGCCAGCCAAACCTGCCCTGAAGGCATTCGGAGCCCCCCCCCAAAAAAAAACTAGATTAAAAAATAATAAAAATCAGATAAAAATATTTTATGATCATAGTCAAGAAAGGAGATTAAATTACTTAGGTATATAACATCTATACGGGTAGGTCAGAATCTTATCTAAAAATGAAGCTCAGTTAAAAAATTCTTTCCAAGGCCAAGCATGATGGTACACAACTGTAAAGTCAGCACTGAGGAAGGCAAAGGCAAGATCACAAATTCAAGTCCTGCCTTGAATTCAGTGAGACTGTATCTCAAAAATAACATGGGGGGGGGTAAGCTGTAGATATAGCTCAGTGTTAGAATGCCCTGGGTTTGATCATTAGTGCTGAGAGAGAGAGGAGGGAGGGAAGGAGGGAGAGAGGGAGAGAGAAAAAGCAAAAGAGAGCACAAGCGAGCGGGCAGGCGGGCCTTTCAGGGTATAGCTCAGTGTTAGAGCACTTAACTGGTCTGATCCCTGCACTAAAGAAAAAAAGTCTTTCAGGCATAAAAAAATTATGTTCCTGCATTCCTACACTAGGTAGCAGTATAAAGGTCCAAAATACCTAGAAGAAAGCTGTAGGGAAAGGGTAAGCTCAAGGACACAGTAAACTGAAAAATGATTAGCAACTCCAAAGATCCTGCTAAGAAGAGTAAAAAGATAAGACTTACCTTTTGAAAGAGGGCAAGGTCAAACAAAACAGAGATAGGTCCAACGCAAAAGTCCTTGGAGGGAACAGTCCCTCCTCCACAGATAGGCTGGGCACTGGCAGAGGCCAGAAGAGTGAATGGAAAATGCTTACTCATAAAGGATTTTTCTAAGGAAACCTCAGGGGAAAAAATAAATCCCAAAGCAAGATTTGGGAAGAGGGGGGAAAATATGGCTTGGCAGCAAGAGGGACAGTCAGATTTCCCTTGGTATGGCCAGGTTCCAGGGCTACTGACCCCAAGTCTCCCAGTGTCTCAATATATAGTGGGGTCAGCGCTCATGGGCAGACACACAGATGCCTCTGGGAGGGGGTAAGATACAAAGAGGGCAGCACACGGCTCACCTTGGGATACTGACGGTGACACACTTCAGCAAGGTGCAGCCCGGTGACCACTCCCAGTCTAGCTGCAAGGCGCTGGAGCAGCAGCCCCACCACAGTGGCCAACAGAAGGACCCAGAGCAACTGAGGAGAACAAAATCCCCCGTGATACTCATTAGATAACTGAGTTTTTTTGTTTGGTCCTTTGGTACTGTAAATGGGAAGCACAACATGAAGGAAATGCCCAGGTCAGGAATGCAACGATCTGAGTTTGGTACAGGATCTACACAAGGCCAACTAGGTACCTCATACTTCTGAGCCTCAGTTTCTCCCATCTGCAATTTCTCTTTTGTTCAAGGAAATTATGTATATTAAAATAAAAGACCAGATGGAAACTACTTTTCATATACATCTCACTGCCAGAGAAGTACAGTTATAACCAAGGAGATGGCACAAGACTGCGGAGGGAGGGCTGAAAGCTCATGACCTATACAACTTTGTGATACTCTGGCTCAAAATTAAAAATAAATCAGCAAGTAAATTTCATTAAGTGAGTAAGTAAAAGGGCTAGGGATATAGCTCAGTGCTCCCTGGGTTTGATATCCAGCATGAGTGACAGGGTATTTGAAGTGTAGCTCAATGGCAGAAAACCTGCCTAGACCCTGGATGCAATCTCCAGTATTGCAAAAACAAACAAAAAACAACAAACAAACCTCCAAAACCCCACTATGGACCCTGGAACAACAAGGCTTGAGGGTTAGGAGTACCAACCTTGTATATACTAAAATGTGCATATAACTTGATTCCCTCAAAACTTCACTACTAGTAACCTCAGTAGACCAAAAGCCTTACCAATAACACTTTGTATAGTATACAGTATACAATTTACCTAACAGACGAAATACCCACATGGAGATGCTCAGCCCCAGACTTTCAGGCAGTGCAGCTCAACAGCAACAGAAGGTGGCTACAAAATTATTACAGAGGTATAGTATATACTGTGACTTTTACGTGTGTGTGTGTGCGTGCGTGCTATAGTCTGGGGAGAGAATCCAGGGATTCTCTACTACTGAGCTACACCCCCAGTCACGTTTTTAATTTTGAAACAGAATCTTACTACAGTTTCTAGCTTGGCCTCAAGCTTGTGCCTCAGCTTCCCTAATCTCTCCCTAATGCAGGGATTACAGAGGCACACCAATGCTCTTGCCTGTATTACAGTTAATTTTATCCAGTTATGATTTAAGCCATACCTTTACATTTGCTTAATTTCTCTCAACTGTGAATGGTACCACATATGGGCTATTTGTGTAAGTTGTGATAAATCTTAACTTTTTAAAATAAATATGTGTACCCTTTAGGCTAGTAAATGATAAAAACAGATTATAATCTATATGTATTGCTATGGCTTGCATTTAGATTTCCCCTCAATAGGTCAGAGGTGGGGATTATCAGAGATGGCTGGATCTAAGTATATGATGCTAGGATTGATTCAAGGTGTGACGCTAGGATTAAGGACATACAACCTGAATTGAATATTAAGAGTCAGAAAGAGGGCTCTGCTGTCACTTGCTGCTCTGCTACTTTGCTGCTTGCTGCCTTCTACCTGCCATGAACTGCAGTTCCTCTCTTCCATGCCACCCTGCCTTGGAGCCAGTCAACTATGAACTGAAACCAATATAAACCATGAGTTACAACAAACTTGCCTCCTTTAACTGATTGTTGGGTATGTTGTCTTAGTAATAAGAAAAGTAACTAAGACATGTATTTTATGTAGTCACAGCATACCTAACTTTTTCTTAATTTTAAATATATTTCTATGTTATGTAGTTCATTTGTTGGGTTTTCAAGCTGTCAAAAATCCCCAATAAAGAACCCTCACACAAGTGCCCTGTGAAGTCCAAGCCACAGTGTTCAAGGGTCAACTCTGAGTACTTACATCTACTGCAGCTACTACCCAATAGCAGGGCAGACTCAAAAAAAAAAAAAAAAAAAGCAGGGTAGAGAAAAGAACGAGGGTGAACTGCACATGTTTAAAAGGGCAGGGGTAGACTAGACTTTCACCTTAAATCCAGCCACTGCTCCAGACTGCAAATCAGATTCAATGTTTCCTGGATCCAAATAGGCGATGCTCATGAGAAAGCCTGGTCCTGTGAACGCCCAGAGTTTACGAAAGCTGAAACAAGAGTACTACACAGGAGAGGAAAGGAGATCAAACTGAGTATCACTTAGTTTATTTTTCTTTTATCAACATGAAGTAGCAATATCAGCTTCCTAAGAACAAAAGCTCAGAGTTGAATTTTGCATGTATCCAGGTTTCTCTTTCATAACCATTTTTCATCAACAACCTAGCCACTCTCTGTATGTAGGAGCCCTTCCTGGCCCTGACATTTCAATCAGCATCTCACCTACAACCAGAGTAACCCAATCAGTACCTCTATGTCCAACCCAAATAGAACAAGAGCCATAGTTTAAAAAAGAACATATGAAAACAATAGTTGCCTGATCAAAAAATGCTCACCAGTGATGGGGATATAGCTCAGTGGCACAAGCGCCTACTTGGCAAGTACAAGGTCCTGAGTTTAATTCTCAGTACCAGTAAAAAACAAAAAAAGAAGGGCCAGCCAAATAGCTCAGTGGATTAAAGTGCCTGCTTAGGCAGACACAAGGGCCGGAGGTTCGATCGCCTGGCCTGCTGTGCTGGCCCCGCCCCTGGGGCATGCTGAGATGGTGATTGAGACTGGGCTTGGTGGCGTGCCTATAATCCCAGCATGTGGTAGGCTGTAAACAGGAGGTTCACTATAGTCTGATCTACACAGTGAGACCCTATATACCCTGTCCTAAATATTAAAAAAAAAAGAGCAAGCACACCAGTATCACTTAACAACTGTATTGAATGTTCCCATCTTTCTGAACAGTTTATTTATTCTTATTATAAAATCCTATCTTCAGAGGTTGACTGCCAAAATTAGACCTAGAGCTATGGTGCTTGAGTTGTCTCTAACAGATCTTCCTTTCACAGGCTTTCACCAGACCACAGCTCCCCTCTGTGACTGGGCACGAACCTCCTCCTCAGGAATGGCAATCTTCTCGTCAAAGTAGGTGGCAAAAGGCTCCTCTGAGTGTCCAGTGGACTGTGGAAGGGAGGAATTACTACAGGCAGGGCTGATGGTGTCAAGACTGGCAGAGTCCCCATGATCTTCAGACACATTTTCTGTATTAACATGTTTAAAGAAAAATTAATAAAAATATTTTTGAACACTAAAAGTTCACCCTCAGTAATACTGAAATTAATTTTGTTTTTTCTTTCCAGTCCTGGGATCAAACCCACAGCCTCAACATCCCCCAGTTACTAGAACAAGGTTTAACACCAATCTTATAATTGTTCTGTTACTCATTCTTCTGTTTCTACTTCATCATTTTGAGAATTCATTTTCCTCTAAAAACACTGACATTTGTGGCTCAAAATATGACATTGCTAGTTCAGCCCCACTGGTGACCTAAAACCTGCCTGAAGAAGCCAACCATGGTGGTGCACACTTCTTGTGTGTGTGTGTGTGTGTGTGTGTGTGTGGTGTGGTGTGTATCTTAGGGAGGGGTCTATAGGGTGTTCAGGGTCTCACTACTAGATCACACTTGCAGTGTTTACAGCCTCCCAAGTGCTGGGATTACAGGCACACACCACCACACCCAGTCTTAATTGCTGTTTTAGCATGCCCTGGAGGTGCCCTGGCAAGGCAGGCCCAGGGATAGAATCCAGGGCCCCTGTGCCTGCTTACAGGTGCTTTAATCCACTGAGCTATTTGGACAGCCCTGGTGCATAGTTCTAATCCCAGCACTAAGAAGCTGAGGCAGGAGGATCACGGCAAGCTCAAGGCCAGCCTGGCCTACATAGTAAGGCCCTGTCTCGATAGATAGATAGATAGATAGATAGATAGATAGATAGATAGATAGACAGACAGACAGAAGTCAATCTATCAGAATATCCCACCTCTATTGCATTATATGACTTACTCAAAGAACTGTCCTTATATTTCTACCAGGCTTCTCAAAGCATGCAGAAGTTCAAAATACTGTTATAGTACAGGACAGAATTTTTGTTTTTGGTATTTTTTATTTATTTTTTTCATTCATGCACATTTGGTACAGGGCCTCACTATGCAGCTCGGACTCATAGTGATCCTCCTGTTTTCAGCCTCTCCAGGATTACAGGCATGCACTGCACTACCATGCTTAGACTCAGTGGCTGGCTCAGCGTGCCCTGGGGGTGAGCCGGCACTGCATAAGTGACCAGGGATTGAACCCTAGTCCCTGAGCTTGCCAAAGCAGGTGCTTAGTCTACTGAGCTATCTCACTGGCCCTTAGGGCAGAATTTGATACTGCAGGGACGCCACTAACCAGGCACACTTTGTGTCCTAAGTCCTCTACAGAAGGGCAGCTGATCACAGGGTGCCAGCATCTCAGCTTGGTATCAGTGTTTCCTATGAAACCTGCATTTTACAGTTAATGTTAAATTCAGGAAGGTGAAACTCTGGAGGAAAAAGGCCAATGTACTAGTAACATACCAAGTCTACTTTGTTGCAGGCATCATATGACTATTCTGAACCACAAAGCTCTATTCTCTGTTTCTAGTAAATCCTTACAGCCTCCAACTAGAAAAACAAGAGTTTTATTTTTATAGGAAGCTGGCCCACATCACCTCAACTTAGAGAATCTACTTGGGAGGAAATTAAATATAAAAAGAATGCAGCGAGGCATGCCTGTAATCCCAGCACTCGGGAGGCTGAGGCAGGAGGATCACTGTGAGTTCAAGCACAGCCTGTGCTACATAGTTCAAAGCCAGCCTCCTGAATTACATGGTGAGACCCTATCAATAACAACAGCAACAACAAAAAGCATGCAAATTCTAAAAAGAGAAACTCAGAATTAAGAAAGATTAGACAAAGCACTCAAGAAGCTACAACAGGGACTTGGGATAAGCATGGCAAATATGAGGTCCTGAATTAAATTCCTGGTAGCAGAAAAAAAAAAAAAAAAAAGGTAGCTGCAATAAAATGCAGAGAACATAGGACTTGCCTTCATTTTGCCTTCCATCCGCAACAACAGGAAGTACACTCTGAAGGTTACTATGCCAAGTCTGAGACAAGTACTGTGCTTGCTAACATTATTGCTACAGAAACCAAACCTGAAGCTAAAATCCAAATTGGAAAGAAGATACTGTGTGAGGTAGGGCTCTGTAGTTTTAAATCCACTTTCATTTACAATGTAAGTTATCACATGGGACTTCTGAATGCGATTGTTGGAATAGACAAGGAAAATATAAATTTCTGCCTAATTCCAAATAAAAATCAGACAATAGAAAGGTATAAATTACCATCTGACATCTTTTGTCCAGGACCCAACACCATGGTGGATATCTGAGGGCCCACGTTCTTAGAATAAGATTCTGTAAAGAAGAAAAGGGAGGGAGAAGAATTAGGGAAAATGAACCCGCAATTTTGTTACTCTGTATCAGTGGACCTTTATGAAAAGAGTGATTCAACCTTTAAACAGTTATAGCTTTCAGAATATGATTACAAGATACTTAACAAAAAGCAAAAAGTCTTCATTGTGTTTTTACTGGCATGACTTCAAAACCAAATTGAGGCAAAAGATATTTCAGTAATACAGGTAAATCCTTTCTAATAGGCACCCTTAGCACCCCTTTAATAAGCTAGGCAATTACCCAGCCTCTGTCTTCGTCTGTAGCTTACCCAAAATGTCAAAAGTCAGACTAGTCTGACCCAATTTTACGAGTTTTTAAAGGATAGAGGTCTATGACTACCTTTGTTCTACCTAAATGTAAATCCATGGCTCATTCTTCTGGGAAAGGCAGAAGAAAGCTCACCCCAGCAGAATGGCAGTGGAGGGGCACTAATTTACAGCCTCAAATTCCCCTGAGGAGAGACCTCAGCTCTATGTCAATCTCACTCCCCAGCCCTCTGTCAAGTACGGCTCTCGAGGAAAGCTGAGGCACAGTAGGTTCGGCCCAGTCTGCAGGCCAGTGCTTCTCCAGGTCCTGCCACAAGCAGTCTGGGTAGTGGGCGGCAGTGGGGAGGCACACATACCCGGCATCGTGGTGGGGAAGTTCCCCGTGGGGGGAGCAGAGGATATTACAGACCCCTCAGGCCACAGATTACACATTCTCTAATCAGCTTTCCCAATAAGGTTGAGTTTTAAAATTTCCATCTACTTATTATCAAATCTACTTTGCAGATGATTTCAAATTTAGAAGGGAAAGGAGGGTCCTCTATGTATTAATTTTGCTCCCCTTAAATATCCACTGTATCCATCCTACCAAAAAGTGAAAGAGCCTCACTTTGGCTATCTTTCACTGCTGACATGTGCTTTGCTTCCTCTGCTTTCTTTTTTGGATAATCTGCATACCTATCTCATAGAAGTCTGGTATCTAGAACTGAAAGGGACTCTGAGGATTCATCTGCCTTCTGGGTATAAAACATATCACCACAAACAGCTAGCCTAGAAAACAACATCTTCCCCTCCCTAGTCGTCAATGCCATTATATCACAAGGTGCAACTGGTCCTATCGCTGTCAGCTTTAAGCCATCCGGTGGCAAAACACAAGCCCAGAGGACCCAGAACAATTAAAGTCAGTCCCTCTTTCAGCCCCTCACAAAGCCCTCACCTAAATGGGATTTATACTTTTGGCCACTCACTTGGGTTCCAATCATAGTGTAGCCCCTTGATACCCCAGGGCCTTTTATTTTTGTTTTATAAGTCATTCTACTAAGCCAGGCTATCACATTATCCTAACCCATAATACATTTGAAACCACAACTCAGATCCAAGACTATGGTTCTTATAGCAAAAGGCACATTTGGTGCACTGAGCAACAAGAAAACTCAAGAAGCCAACTGGTTAGCTTTGGATCTAGCAATTCCAGTCCTAAGACTGAACCTTAAAGTCTCACACAAGTGAACATATACAAGGATATTTTCCACAACATTGTTTATGCTATCAAAGGAATCAGAAAATTAAGAAACCTGGATATTAGTGAGGAATTGATTGATCAAACTGTACACATTCACTGGGCAGAATATCAGGAAGCCATTATAAATAAGGCAAAACTATAGTTTTGGTTAAGAAATGATCTCTAAGATAGGCTGTCAAATGAAAACCTTAATTTATTAAGCACTATGCTACTGCCAAAAGAAAACACACACACACACACATATACAGCAGACTATGTCCAAAGGATCCACTGAAAGCTGGGGCCTAGCGGCTGTGCCTAAGGAAAGGGAGTAGGAGAACAGGAGCAAGGCCAAGTGAAGGAGGACTTCCTACTGAACAGACACTGTGTTCCTTGTTATACTTTTCTAGTGTTGGTTTTTTTTTTTTTTTTGCTTTAATTAAAACTCAGGTGGATTTTCTCAAACACTGTAGGGATGTTCTGCTGCACCTTCTCTGGTAATACCCCCACAATGTATAACCAAAGGTGTGAGGCTATCTATTTGGTGGCATTTACTGCCTTTAGTGTACTGAGTGGTTTGTCTGAGTGTCCAGATAGTCACTACAATTACAAAATCATAATTTCAGGGGCTGGGGAGACAGCACGGATGTCTAAGCGCCTGCCTGGCAAGCGCAATGACATGGATTCGATCCCCGGGATTATATGACGTCCTGGCACCCGAAACCAGGCATGGTGGTACATACCTGTAATCCCAGCACTGAGGAGGCTGAGACAGGAGATCCTGTACCAAATGAATGAATGAATGAATGATTTTTAAAAACCTAGAAAAACAAAGTCATGATTTCCGAGTTTCACCTGAATTCAAAGAATGGAGGCCCTTTCGGGGAAGCATTTCCTGGCTCATTAATTTGGTCTCGGTGGCCCTTCCCTTGGCTTCCTTTGGGTACTCTGCTCTACCACCATCTTACTCCTCACATGTGCTCTTGAAAACACCTATAATTCTTGAAACTCTCCTGCAAGTTTAAAATTCTAGGAAAATTAAGTTCCCTAAAAAACATACACCAGCCATAATAAATTCTAGTATCTGATAGTACTTGTTTCTTCTTCGCATTTAGAAGAAGCTCTGAAAAACAAACTGGATAACTCAAACCTGTTTTAATAATCACTCCCAAGAACATCTGGAACACTAAATATTGAAACACATATAACTTAAACACCTTCCTATGGCTAAAAAAGTCTGTTTTTAAAAATGTGTTTTCTTATAAAACTCCTCCATGGAGACCAATGGCACTGACATTCACTTCACTGATGTTACAGCTGAAATAGATTCCCTAAAATTAATCAGAAGGTTTAGACAATATTTGTAACATAGTCCTTTAGCCTGTTCCCTTATTTCTCTTACTTCTCCCACTAAAATAAAATCAAGACAGCATTAAATAGGAAAAGAACTTTCTTAAAAGCAACCAAAAAGAAAAGAAACCACCCCCGAAGCAAAGCAACTCCCCCCAAAAAAGTTTGTATAGAGGTAACAGAAATGATTAAAACTGAATGACAGGACCGTGGAGATGGCTCAGTAGAGTGAGCACTTCCCTGGCAAGTGCAAGGACCTGAGTTCAATCCCCAGTTCCGCAAAAACAACAACAACAACAACAAAAAACCCTGAATGACAGCCTCCTCTTCCCCGTGAGGCTTTTCCCAGACACTGTTCAGTGCCAGAGACAAGCTCATGATAAGGCGGGAACTGCCAGATGCACACGGGTCAAGGCTGTAAGAAGTGATAGATACGTTATTAGAGAACGAGGAATTGAGTTTTTTAAAACGTTCATTTGTCTTAAAGAAAATGTAAAGATTTCCAGATCCTGACAAACCTTCCTAAAGGTCTACTTTCAGGTTAACACACTTGATAGACCTACCACAGCATCACTACTAATCCAGCATGTATGCTGGGTAACATGTTTTTCATCAAGGTAGGCTCCTGTCATTTGAATCAATGGGAATCAAGGAAAACTAAAATATTCAAGTAGGTTCAGTAGAGCTAATAGTTTCCTGAACCTTATATATTTTAATGAGAAAAAAATTACTAACCTCCCCCTCCTCCCCTTCCCTTTTGTGGTGTTAGGGACTGAACCCAGGGCCTGGATCACGCTAACTATATGTTCTATAACTTAGCTACATAGTCTGCCCTAGTCTTGTTTTTTAAATGATAGATTACTACTGCCTCTATATTTCCATTCTAGATCGATAAAGAAATAGCTTTTTCTGAGACTTTCCATCAAAGATATCTACTGGATGAGTTCCAAAATTCAGTCTGCTCCCACTGTGGGTGATGGAAAAGAAACATTTTGCTAAATGCTCGTGACAGTCGTGGTTATTCTTGAAGATGTGAATTCTTGAATTATTATTTTGTAAAACTTAGAATAAGTTTATGCTATTTTTCTGTTACTAAGATATATGTGAGACCTAGGAATGTGGCTTGCTGATAGAGTGCTTGCCTAGCACACACAGGTCTTAGGTTCCATCCTCAAGGCTCAAAAACCAAAAGGGAATTGGAAAAAAAAAAAAAAAAAAAAAAAAAAAAGAATTTGACATAAAATGATAAAGGGATGGGTTAAAGACTGACTATATCTGTCTCGTGGCAGAAGAAACAAACAACCTGTCTAGTAAGGCCTTTTAAGGAAAAGGCCTCCACTCTAAGTGGCTAATATTAGCACGTCTTTACCCGAAAGCTACACACCACACCCAGATCTAACCTATATCAGTGCTGCTGTTATACAGTATTCTTGGCAGGAATCAGGGCTATCTCTATCTAATCTCAAAACTGGAGACATTTTACATGGCTTAACCAAGAACCACAATTTCAACTCCACACCAAGTTTGCTAGGTTTCATCTGTCAGACTTTGGAGTTTGAGGTTCAAAGAGAAAAACCTGACATTTGAATCCATCTAAAGATAAGGAAAGAGCAAGGAGAGAGGGACAAAGGTGAGGAGAGAGAGGGAGAGAGGAAGAGAAGGAAAGAAGGAGAGAGGGAGAGAGACAGAAGAGACATAAACAGAGACAGAAAGAGAGACAGAAAATGTTAAGAAGCAAGAAGAGGAGCGAGGGGGTAAGAAGTGGGAGAAAGAGTCCAGCTGATAATGAAGCCAGTTGCCTGGTGTCAAAGGTGATAAGAAAATGGAGAAATGTGGCCAGGCTGTCAAGAAGTACTGATCTTTTAGACAAAAATATCATTCACCAACCAGAGACTTCAGGATGGAAGGGTCTCCTACCACTACACAGAACTGTTCTTTTTCCTCTGCTCAATGCAACTGAGGCTTAGCCAGCTCCACACCTGACTGCTTATGCATCAGGGTCACTCAAGGCTTACTTCCAGCACCTATATCTTGGTCTTTGTTCCTCCCAACTGTCATCCTAGGGGCTTACTGAAAACTTCTTGTAACAAGAACTTTACAGCACTGTTTTACCTTGGGAGACAAATGCAGACTCCTAGCCTGGCACTTCTGTTCTAGAACACAACTCAAGCTCTGTGGACAATTTGAAACATCCCCATCTACTAGAAAATAAAATGTATTAAAAATGTCTATGCCACTCAGCCCACCAGGGGGCGGGGCTGGCTGGCATTTGGTGCTGGGTGATTGAACCGCGGTCCCTGTGCTTTGCTAAGCTTGTTCTAAGTAGGTGCTTTAGACCACTGAGCCATCTCACCAGCCCCAACTGTTATTTTTCTTTTTTCTTTTCTGTTTTTTTATTAACTAAAATGTGAAGTTTATATTTTTTCTCCAATTTTTAAATGTTATTTTAAAGAGTAAAAACAAAACAAAACAAAACAAAAAAGCAAAAGCAAATGGCAGACAAAAGCTGAGTAACAAGCAACAGTACAAATGGTATATAGTTTTAAAACAGGAATAAAAATTTAAAAGTTGTTATATTACATATTTTTGTCATCAGATCTGTTCAGATTAATATAGGTATGCAAAATTGTCAAATAATTGAACATTAATGCTTATTTTCAATAAATTTTAATTTTTTTTCTAAAAAAAAAATGTCTATGCCAGGCTAGAGATGTAGCTCAGGGATGGAATACTTGGTTAGGCTAGCCTTGGGCCCAGATCTGTGGTAGCACCCCCAACAATGTCTCTACCAATTTTTTGCCTCAGAATTATTATTTTTTTTTTTTTTGCAAATGGGAAGGGGTCTAACAGATAGAAAGGGAAAAAGGAGAGGAAGAAAAGGGGACAAAAAAAGAATTACGATGCGTTATGCACATGTACCAACTCCTCACAATGAATATAATTGTCATGTTCTATAAAATATGTACTAATAAAAATTTAACATTTTTTCTCCAGTCAGATTTTATTGTTACCTTTCAGATATACATTATCACATTAGAAAATTTGTATCTATACGTGATATAACTTGTTTCTTTATTTTTCCCTTATGTATCTTTCCTGTGGCAGACAGGAAGAGTGATTATAATTGGATTACATTCAAACCA